CCACAAGATGGCCGGCAGGGAAGGGCAGTTGTGAACAATCAGGCAAGCAGGGGAGGGTAGTTGGGGGCAACCAGGCCTGCAGGAGAGGGCAGTTGGGGGTGACCAGGCTGGCAGGGGAGGGCAGTTGGAGTGAGATCAGGCTGGCAGGGAACGGCAGTTGGGGGTGACCAGGCCTGCAGGACATGGCAGTTGGGGGTGATCAGGTCGGCAGGGGAGGGCAGTTGGGGGCCATTAGGCCAGCAGGGGAGCAGTTAGGGAGCAATCAGGCTGGCAGGCAGAAGCGGTTAGGGGCAATCAGGCAGACAGGCAGGTGAGCGGTTAAGAGCCAGCTGTCCCTATGGGATCGGGCCTAAATTGTCAGTTGGACATCCCCCAAGGGGTCCCAGATTGGAGAGGGTGCAGGCTGGGCTGAGGGACCCCCCACCCCGTGCATGAATTTCATGTACCAGGCCTCTAGTTCCTCTTATATCTGTCATTTATTATTTTCTTTTAGATATGGTATAAAAAGCTCAGCATAGAGGCTCTATATTCAGCATCAATAAATGGGCTCTTAAAACTGAATTCAGTCCACCAAACTGCTCCAGTAATTACCTCTCTCTTATATAATTGTGATTTTTTTTTGTAATTGTCCTGTTAGAACTGTTATTTACTTTCCCAATAAAAGAGACTGTCCTGTGAATGAAAGAAATTGGCAGAGGCTTTGGTATTAACTCCCTGTGTCAGTAAAAAAGTTCCCCAGCAAACATTTCTGGAAATGTTTTATATGTATTTGTGATAATATTGTAAAATGATTACATGGTATTTTTAAAAAGATTTAATTATATCATGAAATTTAACATCACATTTAATATACATTTTAATTCCTGGCTGGGTAGCTCAGTTGGTTAGAGCATCATCCCAGTACACCAAGGTTGTGGGTTCAATCTCTGGTCTGGCACATGCAAGGAGCAACCGATGAATGCATAAATAAGTGGAACAACAAATTGATGTTTCTCTTTCTCTCCCACCCTCTCTCAATATATAAAATGAATAAATAAAAGATTAAAAAATATACATTTAAAATATTAATAAGGTATAAAAATGCCTTATAAATACATATAAAAATGTATAACCTTACAGACTAAATAGATTCTGACCTCATATTCCCAGGACAGGCTTGTGAAATTCCTAGAGTCCTGACAGACTTTGTGGACCCAATTGTATGTATGAAAGTCTGCATATGGGACCATGATGAAAGTTCTGTTTAGGTAGCACCATACACAAAACATCTCACCAAAGGCATGAGTGCAGTCTGAAATCCAGTCCACTGTCAGTTCGCCAAGCCTTCGGCCCCAGTTAAACTATCTTCAGTGAGATGAAAGGGCACTTAATTCTGCACAGCCATAGGCTGTCCTCTAGGAGAGTAAACGTCCCCTAATTTGTATACAACTTGATATAGTTAGCAGTGGCCTTTTCTGTACCTTTAGAGACTCTCCACGATAATTTACAAGTGGTGGGGAATATCACACCCTGTCATCCCTTGAGTTGGAAGAACATTTTTCAAACCAATCCAAGTCCTATCAACAAAGAAGACAAAGAAAGGAGGGGGAGAAGTAACAGACACACCTAATGCAGTTAACCGACTTAGACATCAAAGTAATTCTGATTTATATGCTAAAAATATTTTACCAAGCTTAAAAAACATTTAAAATGAATTAAAATGGAAAGCCTAGAATGAATATATATATATATTAGTAACTAAAATTAAGATATTAACAAATGTGTTTAATAGCTGAAAGGTGGCACTAAAGGAGAAGATTTGTAAACAAAAAGAAAATTCAGTAAGAAATACACAGAAAGAATTTTAAAAAATACAGAATAAGGCATAAAATGACATGTTGAAAAGTCTAACACACATGTTATTAGAGTCACAAATGGAAAGGAAAGAATGAGGTAGAAGTAATACAATACCTAGCGATACTAACAGAATTTTTAAAACTAGTGATAGACATCAAGTCACATATTCCATTATACTCATAAACTCTAACCACAATAAATACCAGAAACAAACTAATAAAAATTTTAAAATAAAAAAGCATACACATGTAGCCACTTCAGAATCAAACTGCAGAAAACCAGTGACAGGAGTTGGTTTTACTTGAAAGTCATTTTATCCTCAAAGAAGCAATAGGAAGACTGGAACTGTCTTATCAAAAGAAACAGAAAGCTAGGAAGCAATGTACTCAAAGAAAATAAAAAGGAGTGGTTGACTAGAATTCTATCATCAGCAAAAAAATTTCTAAAAAATGAAAGGAAAATGGGAGATTTTTTCAGATAAGAGAAAACAATATAATTTTGGCAAACACACGAAATGTAATACTAAAGTGATATCTTCAGGCAGAAATAAAATTAGCCCAAATGGGGGGAAATCCTATATAATAAAAAGGTTATATGCAAATAGACCGAACGGTAGAACAACCAAACAACCAATCAAAGCGTAATATGCTAATGATATGCTAAGGCTGCTCAACCGCTCGCTATGATGTGCACTGACCACCAGAGGGCAGTCAACTGGTCGACCAGTCGCTATGATGTGCACTGACCACCAGGGGGCAGATGCTCTGAACAGTAGGTTAGCTTTCTGCCAGGGTTCAGCTGATCAGGACTGAGTGAGATGGGCCAGACACACCCTGGAGCCCTCCTGCGGTCCCTCCTTGGCCCGATTGTGCACCAGTGGGGTCCCTCAGCCTGGCCTGCACCCTCTTGCAATCTGGGACCCCTCAGGGGACGTCCAAGAGCTGGTTTCAGCCTGATCCTGCAGGCCACTCCCCTTGGGGGGCGCCAGACTCAGGACTCATGGCTGGTGAGTGCTGCTGCTGCAGCAGGATCCTCTCCCAATTGGGACTGATTGAGCATGAGCCCATGGCAGGCACAGTGGGACCAGGATGAGCGGGAGTGGCAGTAGGAGCTGCAAGCAGTGTTGGATTGTGGGTTTTGGCCCAATCGCACCCAGAGGGATCCCACCTGTGCACGAATTCATGCACCGGGCCTCTAGTTAAGAATAAAAAGCTAAAAAAAAAAGTATAAAAATTTTGGTAAGTCTACATGGCTGTTGACTGTACAGAACAATAATAGCAATAACAAAGTCTTATAAAGTTTAAATATACATAGATTTAATATTCATCAAAAAACAATGGGAAGAGGGTAAATGAATTTAAAGATTTTTAAAATCTTGCTTTGTCTAGAATATGACAGAAATACTAATTTACATTTAACTGTATTAAATCAGAGAAGCAAGCTTAATGTATTGATATTGATATTCACTAAGTAATAGTAATGTAACTAATAAAAGGGGAAAAGTTACATAATACATGCCCCTTCACATATGAGAAAAAAATTAACTAAATAGACAACTAAACACAAAATAAGTAAAAATAAGGAAAAGGAATATGAAGTAAAATGTTGCATACTTCTTAGCTCAGTGATAAATAATTTTTTTATATAAAAAGTATAATTACCTAATATGAATCTGGTCACAAGGAATCTATGGAGTTAAAGCTACATACTTTACATGAGAAAGCTATTCAAGCATATCTAAAATGGAAACATTACAGCAGATGTGGTACATACATAAATGGAATACTACTCAGCCATATGAAAAGATAAAATACTGCCATTTGTGACAACATGGGTGGAACCTCAAAATATCATGCTAAGTAAACAAAGCAGACAGGAAAAGTTAAGAACCATTTGATTTCACTCAGATGTGGGATATAAAACTAAAAGCAACAAATAAACAAACAAACAAGAAACACAAACAAAACCTCATAGACACAGAAGTATGGTGCTCACCAGAGGGAGGGGGCTGGAGGACTAGTAAAGGGTAAAGAGGTTCAAATATATGGGTATAGAAAATTATTTGACTTTGGGTGGTGGGCACACAATGCAGTATGAAGATCATGCGTCACAGTAATGTACACATGAAATTTATATCATGTTTTCTTGAAACCTATATAATCTATTAACTGATGACAGCACAATAAATTTAATAAAAAGAATGAAAAAATGAGAAATTAAGAAAATACAGTATAAAAATGAAGAAATAACAATGATATCTTACCTAATGATCTTACCTAATAATAGACAAACATGTAAATTGACTGTCCCTCTACTACACTCACCAGCCAATCAGGAAAGCATGCAAAGTAACCCAACAAAGATGGCGGTTAATTTGCATATATAGGCACCCAGCAGCCTGGGTCCCGGGAACATCATCGGGCACCCAGGTCACTCCAAGGTAGGCCCCGTGTGGGCCCTGAGCAGCCTAGGAAGGGCCTGAGCCAGGGGGCTCCTGGGCAGGGCTGAGCCTGCGATCAGAGCCGAGGGGGCCCTTGCCCAGACCTAAAGCCTCAGCCATAGGCATTAGGCCTGGGCAGGGGTGGAGCCCGCGATCAGAGCAAGCAGGCTCGGAGCCAGTGATCAGAGGGAGCAGGGGCGGAGCCGGCGATCAGAGGGAGCTGGGGGTCCCCTGCCCAGGCCTAACGCCTCGGCCAGAGGCATTAGCCCTGGGCAGGGGTGGAGCCAGCAATCGGAGGGAGCTGAGGATCCCCTGCCTAAGCCTAGCGTTAGGCTTGGGCAGAGGCAGAACCGGCGATTGGAGGGAGCAGGGACGGAGCTGGCAATCGAAGAGCACGCCATCGGAGGGAGCAGAGGTGGAGCTGGAGATCGGAGGGAGTTGGGGGTCCCCTATCCAGGCCTAAAGCCCTGGCCAGAGGCCTTAGGCCTGGGCAGGGGCCAAGTTGGCGATCAGAGGGAGCTGGGGGTCCCCTTCCCAGGCCCCAAGGCTTTAGGCCTGGGCAGGGGCCAATCCTGGGATCGGTTTGAACTACAGAGGAAACACCTTTTCTGACTGCTCATTGGCTAAGCTCCCTGTATGCCACTGGTAATATTCTTAGTAACTTGGGTAATAAGAATCCAAGAAGGTGACCTAGGGTTTTTCCACCATACTCCTGGAGAAAAAACAGAAGGTCCACTGCTGGAGGGCTAATAAATGTCATATCCTGCCCTAGACAGTTTGGCTCAGTGAATAGAGCCTTGGCCTGCCAACCACAGGGTCTGGGTTCAATTCTGACCAAGGGCATGTACCTAGGTTGCAGGCTCCTCCCTGGTCAGGGCCCAGGTCAGGGCTCATGCAGGAGGCAACCAATCAAAGTGTTCCTCTCACTTTGATGTTTCTCTCTGTCTTTCCCTTTCTCTTCCACATTCTCTAAAAATCAATGGAAACATATCCCCAGGTGAGGATAAAGAAAGAAAGAAATGTCATATCCTATGAAAGACACTTCTTGAAAATGCCTAAAGAAAGTTGTCATTTTTTCATGGTAAAGGGACTGGAGTCTGTGTTGATGAAAACAAGAGGCCAGACTGCGGCTTAGGCCCGCTCCCCAAGGGGAGCAGGGAGCGGGCCTAAGCCGTCAATAGGACATCCCCTGAGGGCTCCCAGTATGTGCAGTATGTGAGAGGGGGCAGGCTGAGCTGAGGGACCCCCCCCCCAGTGCATGAATATCATGCACCGGGCCCCTAGTCCTATATAATAAAAGGCTAATATGCAAATCGGCCAAACGGCAGAACGATTGGTTGCTATAATGCGCACTGATCACCAGGGGCAGACGCTCAATGCAGGAGCTGCCCCTGGTGGTCAATGCGCTCCCACAGGGATATCACAGCTCAGCCAGAAGTCAGGCTCATGGCTGGTGAGTGCAGCGGTGGAGGTGGGAGCCTCTCCCACCTCCGTGGCAGCATTAAGGATGTCCAACTGCCAGCTTAGGCCTGCTCCCTGAGGGCTCCTGGACTGCAAGAAGGCACAGGCCGGGCTGAAGGACCCCCAACCCCCGAGTGCACGAATTTCATGCACCAGGCCTCTAATAAAAATATAAATGTAAAACCCATGATAAATAGCTAAGAATGTTTAAAAGCATTGTCTCTGAGAATCAGTGTGAAGGCAGAAAGAACAAGGTGTGGGTGATTTCTCATTGTAAGACTTATTTCACTCTGGTTAAGTGAAAATATCAAGTTAAAATAAAAAGAAATGTGGGGAAATTTTATCCTTGGATGAGTACTAAGAAGAACATAGACATTTAAGTAGCTCAGGCAATTACAAACAGCAAAGGTTAATAAAATACCGTATTAGGTTAGTATAAGAAACTAAATGGCTCCTTCATTGGGAATTGTTGACATGATTTCAACATATGACAAAGAAAAAGGACAATTATTGACTTGAACTTTACTTCTCTCTTTTAAGGTCAACATATTTTTCCTCAAACTAGAAATGTTAAAATATTTTTATTTGTATCTTATAAGAAAAAAAAAGAGATTGTTTAACTCATCCTAGATTCACTGAGAAAATCCTTTCAGAGAAAAGTCATTGGACCTTGGAGGAGGCTAGATTACACGGCTCTCAAAGAGAAAAAGAAAGCATATTGTGTAAATTGTAGATTGTTTGATAGATTTCCCCCAAATCTTAGATTTTGTGAATGTTTTAAA